TTTAGGGTTTAGGGTTTAGGGTTTAGGGTTTAGGGTTTAGGGTTAGGGTTTAGGGTTTGGCGTTTGGCGTTTGGCGTTTGGCGTTAGGGTTTAGGGTTTAGGGTTTAGGGTGGTTTAGGGTTTAGGGTTTAGGATCTACATTCCCCTCAACCTGAAGGTGTTTAGTGTTTTGGGTTTAGGTCGAGGGTTTAGGGGCAGGTGTCGACAAGACCAGACTGATTTGAGATTGCGTCCTCCGAGCTCAGAGAGCAGAGTCACAGTGGTAGCAGGGTCCAGCTGGCCCTACGCCTGGCCCTGTACGCCCTAGAAACCCGAATCATCAACCCTAAACCCTAAACGCTAAACCCTAAACACTAAACCCTAAACCCTAAACCCTAAACCCTAAACCCTAAACCCTAAACCGATGTGTCGGGGACTCGGGCTCAGCTTGCCCCTGTACGCCAGATCCTCCGCGAAATGGCGGACCGAGTGCGCGACGACGGCACTGACGACTTCCAAGATGTGGATTGGTGTAAGGCGACCTGGGTTTGCGGTTTTAGGGTTGTTAGGTTTTAGGGTTTACGGTTTTAGGGTTGTTAGGGTTTAGGGTTTTGGGGTTCGGGGTTTAGGGTTGGGGGGGCGTTTAGGGTTTGGGGTTTCGGGTTTGGGGGTTGGGAGTTTGGGGCGTAGGGTTTAGAGGGTTTACCTAGGGATCTCTAATTGTGGCTCCTTTTTCGGGATACTGAATCTTTTGTCAGATCACATGATACGACTACATCACACCATGAGCACTCTTGGGTCTTCAGACCCTCAACCCTAAACTCTGCCATTTGTGGATCTCGGGTTCCCAAAACTCTTACTCTTAGGACTCTGGTTCAGGGCCCCCTAACAATTCTCTTGAGGCTTCTCGAGATTTTCATCCCAACAAGTGTTCAGGATTGTTTTTTGGGGCCAAAAACCATACACATTTTTCGGACACTCTGGGCAAAAGAGCTTCGAGCGCTTTTGGGGGCCACAATGGGTTAGGGTGAGTTTACACTTTGTTTCTACGCGCCGCCAGGCAGGATTCCTCTTTCGGACCTTTCTCGGCTCAGCAAGCTCAAGCCCGAAACTTAAGCCCCATTTTTCTCGCTCGCTCTTAGTAGGGACTGGGGGAATACGGCACACTATAGCATCTCTTAAAGGGTATATATATATATATATATAGGGGGATAAAAGGTATCCAATGCCCTTCCGGACCCGAAATCCTTATCAGGGATGAGGGTTTAGGCTTTAGGGTTAGAGGACAAGATATAAATGGAACTGTGCCAGCTGAAGAAGGACTGATTCCTGAAAGGGAGGCGTTGGAACAACCAGGTGATATTGCAGTGGTAAAACATGTTTTCCTTCGCTAAATTCTGCTGCAACAAAAGGAGTTGGGTAGTCGCCTGCATCAGAAAAGCCCCCCTAACACAGCCTAAACGACCAAGCCCCTAAAAAAGCCACATAAACCCCCGAAAACCTCCCATACACCCCCTATAGACCCGCTATAAACCCCTGAAAAACTTAAAACAAAAAAACCTATAAACCTCATATATGAAGGTGCTGGGAGCAGCAGCGCTGGTCGTCGGGGTCGGCTTGGCTGTGGGCGCCCTCGCCAGCATGCTCACCAAGGCCGGCCCATGGTCTCTTGATCCGGGTCAGTCCAAACCCCAAACCCCAAACCCCAAACCCCAAACCCCAAACCCCAAACCCCAAACCCCAAACCCCAAACCCCAAACCCTAAACCCTAAACCCTAAACCTCATGGTTTAGGGTTTAGGGGTTAGGGTGTCTAAGAACCTCTGGTGGCTTGGCACCCAAAAACAACAACTAGGACCCAGAGTATACCCTTATTCCGTGTTTTAGGGTTCCCTTAGAAGCCCCTTTAAACCAACAAGGGTACCCTTGTTATCCTAGGTTGCTCTTGGGCCAAATAATCCTAATGGCTCTGCGTGTGATCTATAGCAAAGCATATAGGGTAATAGTATCCTATGGGGTTGAGGTTTTGGGGTTCAGGGCTTCTGAGATACTACGGGGACTTCAATTGTCAATAGTGCCACTGGTATTGCTGGTATCGGCATAGTCCATGTAGTTCCACTGGGGCCACTACAGACGTCTACATGTATATATTTAGACATAGTTTTGCTTTGCGTATATTGATATTTGTATTCTTATGTTTATGTACTTGTTTAATGGTTTATACGCATGCAGATGGTATATGCACACGTATATGTGTATGTGTATGAATATGCATATGTGTATGTGTATGTGTATACGTAGTATATGTATATGTATATGTATATCTAGTGCAAAGTTATGGTATTGATATGTTTCATGTTAGAAGGGGTTTCTTGTTGAATGTGTGGTTATTTTGATCTGCTAGGCAGCATTTCATATTCTTCATGCTTGTGTCAATATCGATGTTATCCATGTTTGCTTCTAATATGTTCATACTCCTGGGTCTAGAGGCTCATGAGTCAGGTCCTCTGAGTGCCCTAAATAAGGGTATAGCCATGGTTACCCTAAGCATAACCCTACTTATATGTACCCACGAACCTCCGAGTCACATAGACAATTTGGGTTTAGGGTCTCGGGGTTTAGAGCTTAGGGCAGTTGGGTGTTAGGGTTTGGTTTAGGGGGGTATGGGGTGCAATTATGGCTTCCGAAATGTCGAAACTGCAAGGACAAGAGGCGACGAGAAGACGACTGAGGCCGGCCGCGTCGTTTTTCAAGCGGCGGAATGCAACTTCCCACAGAAAGCCCTAAAACCTAAACCCTAAACCGAATCCCTGTAAGTGTGCTCAATCAACAACAGGGCTTACATCCCCAAATCCCGAACTGCACGTTCTCTGCCTCAAAGGGCCAAGAATCACCCTACTGAGCTTAAGGAACGTCAAGCCCTGAACCCTGAACCCTAAACCCTACTGAGCCTAAGGTTCCGAAACCCCTAGCCCTCTTCAGCTTGAAGTGCTTTGTGCTTGGGTGCGAGGCGCTCGGCGCTCGCATAGGGGTCCCAGAGACTCCAAAACCCCTTAATTAGGGAATATACCTCAAATCATATTAGGGTTCCTATTATACTTGAAGGGCTATTCCTTAATTAAGGGGTTTCGGAGTCTCTGGGTTAGCCGAGGAGGCTGGAAGACGACGCTCTGAAAGTTCGCCACGTGCAAGGGCCATTGTAGGGCACTTGCAGGCAGGAACCCTGAGACCTAAAGCCTAAAGCCCTAAACCCCATACACCCCCCTAAACCCTATATATACCCGAATCTAAACCCTAAACTTCCAGAATCTGTGTTTGTTTGAATTTGCACCCAAAGTCTCTCAGCTGGTACAGGATTATCGGGTGCTCTCTGTTGAAAGAAACAGGGTTTAGGGTGTAGGCGGTAGGGTTTATGGTATTTTGCTGCCTGATCACATTCCGACGTTGCTAGACACACTGTGTCGATGATTGATTACGCCATGGAAATGCACGGATCCCATGAGAGGACGCCGGGGATGCCTCAAATTAGCAAATAGGACCCGTGCACCATCGCTGATTGAAGAATGCGGGCGGGACGGCAAGGAAGAGCTTCACGGTGTTAAGAACTGATAGGTTTCAGCATCTGACCCATCGAGGGAAATCACCGTAAACCCTAAACCCGGGCTCTAAATGCTGGGACCTTCCGCTCCAGCGATGCGCTCTGAGACGCAAGTGGGCGTTGTTCCAAATTCTTGGCCCTTTCTGGTAGCCGACACTATAAACACGTTACCTGTAGGTTCAGAATTTGGGCAACTATAGCTATATCCTGATGCAGGCTACTTATCACCCTACTTGGAAACTCTTGGAAGTACCCAGGAGCCGTGAGGTGCTCGAGGCTCAGAACAGGGACCATTATTTGGAACCACCCCCCTTGGTAGCTTCCCCGGAACATCACTAGGTCTGTAGCTGGTACAGGAGGATCTAGGCTGTTGCGCGGAAAAAGCCTGCCCTAAACCCTAAACCCTAAACCCTGGTGGACTGTTAGCACTGAAGCCCTTGATCCGGCACCACTGAGTCGATGGGGTTTAGGGTTTAGGGTTTAGGGTTTAGGGTTTAGGGTTTAGGGTTTAGGGTTTAGGGGGGTTATGGTCTGGCTTTTGGGGTGGTCGGGGTGGTTGAGAGTTTAGGGCATTGGTGGTGGAGAGTAGGGGTTTAGGGCATTGGTGGTTTTTGGGGTTGCGGGCAGTGGTGGTTTAGTGTTTTTGGGGTTTCAGGTTTCCTCCCATGGTGCTTCCAGCTGCGGGGCGTGGGATTCTGTGGGATTCGGTGGCACACTGCTTTCGTCGTTCTGTGTCTTTTTCTTTCATCTCGTACGTGTCCCCTCTAATGCTCCTGCTTGCCCTTGAACATCTCCACACAAGTCCTCGATAGAAGCTTCCAAGCAAGGCCGTTCCTGCGGTACTGTCAAGCCCTTTTGGTGAAACTAGAAAAACCCTACTTCATTTGCTGTTGGCGACCTTTTGCGTGCCCCGTCCCTTGTTGTGCTCACTCGCCTCCTGTGTGTGCCCTTGCGGCAAAGGCAGCCCGGGGCGAAGACTCTGAACATCTGCAGTGGTGTATGGCAGGATACCCATGGCTTGCAGGAGAGTCTTTAGGATTCAGGGTTTTAGGGGTTTAAGGGTTTAGGGTTTGGGGTTTAGGGTTTTGTCCTGAAGGTATGTCTAAGAAATGGGATCGTGGCAGTCAAATGAATCATTTCTGCCGGCTTCGTGGTTTGGCTAATTGTTATCATCATTACAGCACTACTTCTTACTGTTATCATGAGATTTGAAAATATTTACATGTATACATACATATGTATATGTGCGTACATATTAGTACATGTATATGCTCTACTATGTACTACACATATTTATGCACATATATGTCTACATGAGTATGTGTCCTGAAGACATACAAACATTTAGATGCACGATAACAACAATGTGTGTAAATTCGCCGGATTCATGCGAACAGGGAAGCAAGATGCCTGCGGTCTGCCAGGTGCGATTGACCCACCGCAGCGACGTGCCTGCAAGTGACGGCAAGCATTCATTGCCTTTTCGTAGGATCTTATTCTAAGACCCCTTACAGATTTTTCGCAGGTAACCTACAAGAATGTAGGTTTTGGATTCGTAAGATAGGTTGTTTAGGATTTGGGGTTTAGGACCTACATCATGAACCTGGGCCCCATATTAAAATGCACCCCACAAGCCCGAATCGCGTATGTACGGACGTATGTCTGTATATGTATGTGCTGCACATTCCATAGTGCTTTGCATTCAGCACGCGTCAATTCTGAATTGCCATGAGGTACCCGGATACTTTGCGACGTGTGCGCAGCCGGCTACGGCCAGGGGGAGCCCGGTCACCCAGTTTGGGGGAATTTGCATTTGGGCCCCCAAGTCCCTGTTTATTTTTATCGCCAAACCTTGCACCCTAAGGGACATGTGCCAGAATTGTTGTTGGGCTCGTTCTCGCTTAAGATGTCTAGGAAGGTCCAAATGCTTGTTCCTTTTAGGGTGACTCAGGGTCTGGTGCTGTAGGGGTTCTCGAAGCTTTTGTTTACCTTAAGCCACGTGGCCTAGGGCCCAGCTAAACCCAAAACTTAGAGAACCCCAACACCCCAAAACCCTCATGGCTGTTCCAACTGATGCTTGAAGCGATTGGCTAGATTGTGCCCATCGCAGCACCAGGATTGTCATGCGTGCAACAGCTCGCCTCCCCGCTTAGGGGTTTACGGTTTAACCTGTAAACGCTTAACAAACTTATATGGGCAGTTGTCTAAACGAGGGTCCCGTTTTGTGGTCCTACATATAGAGAAGGACTCCAAGGGGTGCAAATGCACAGAACCACCCACATTAGTGTTGACTAAGATGCCGCATATCCCCCCCCACATAGCCCTTTCAGAGATTACGCAGGGAACCTTCTCACCGCACAGTTCCCTGCGAAGAGGGAGTAAGACAATCGCCTGCATCTGCTAAGATGGTCATGGTGCGCGACTATGGCCGCGGGGATCTGGCGCAGTTGCTTGCTGCAGTTTGATGTCCCGCACTGGCTTCTCAGAGATTTTGGGTTAAACGGAATGGAGGTCCGGAATAGGAGCGTAAGCCCGGACAAACTCTGTTCATTGAAAATAGGGCATGTATGTATGTGTATATATATATATATATATATTCCCGATTTTTCATGTTTCAAAATGTGTAGTATATACCGCATCAACACAATAGTAGTTATTCTATGCATATGTGTATATATATATATATATCTATCTATCTAATACATATGCAAAGAGCGTATGTTGCGTCATATCAACCCAGAGCCCAGAGCTCAAGCACCGGTATGGTGCAGCCTTCGCCCTCCAGCCTTAAACCATCAGTCTTCTTTCCTTCGATCTTCGTCGGGATGTAAGTTTCGGGAGAGTGCGCTTTCGGGTTTAGGGTTTAGGGTTTAGGGTTTAGGGTTTAGGGTTTAGGGCTTCAAGGGATGAAGACTCATTACCCCCCCCAAGTTTGTATCCTTAAACGTTCCCCTTAAAAAAACTACTCTAAGCATCTTGAACAGGGGTCCCAGAACCCAAGTGTGCGACCTTCAGGGTCCAAGGTAGATCCCTAGATTTCTATATTTTGGGGGTTAGGATCCCACAGAAGTTCAATTTAGCCAGGCCACCTTCTTTCCCAAAACGTGTTCCTTCAGAGAGGGGAAGGGGCGTTACGTCCCTTTCAGGACGCCGGCCAATTTTCCATCCATTGTCCTGCTCTTAGGTAACTTACGGGTAAGTCACTCTCCAGGCGCATATCGTAATTAACGTGGCTTAGGGTGTAGGGTTTAGGGTTTAGGAAAGTTTAGGGTTTAGGGGTAGGGTTTAGGGTTTAGGGTTTAGGGTTTAGGGTTTAGGGTTTAGGGTTTATAGGGTTTAGGGTCTAGGGTCTAGGGCTTAGGGTTTAGGGTTTAGGGTTGACGCTCAGTTCTTGCAAACAGGTTGCGTTTCGGTGCCGGACATTGGCTGGGTGGTGACCGTTATGTCCGCGGGGATGGTGGCAAGCTCAGGGGCATTGGATGGGACTGGGGCCTCAGGGCTCAGGGTTTAGGGGTGTAGGGTTCAGGGTTTAGGGTCTGGGGTTTAGGGTGCAGTTGAAGGTTCATAGGTACGTATACGTTGGAGGACTGTAAGTGCACTAAAGAAGCTCAGAACCATAGTTGCCTTCTCTCTTTTCAAGTGCCCATGAGCCTCCTGAGTAGAGTTCTCAATGTTTAGGGCTTAGAGGGTTTGACCTACAGATATATCCCCTTCAAGAAAACACCTATTTTCGCCCACAACGCCGGCGTTGCCAATATTTTAGCGGCCAGCAAGAAGTTCGGTCCTTCCACACTTGTGGTACTTAAGGTTGAGGGTGCTTCGTTCAGTTCATACACGATCTCGAAACCTACGATTTGCTTGCTTCAGCAAGTAGTAGAAGACATGCAAACCTGGATGCTGCGGCTGGGTCCCAGGCACATTGGCGGTGTTCCTGACCACGGAAGGCACCAGCCCCATGCTGAAACCTAAGACCCAGAGACTCCAAAACCCCTTAATTAGGGATTATACCTTAAATCATATTAGGGATCATTTAAGGGATATTCCTTAATTAAGGGGTTTTGGAGTCTCTGCCTACTTGGAGGTTCATGCTTCTTCTTAACCAATTACAACTGTACTGATAACCCACTTATAAGCCCCTTAAGTGCCCTAATGTGGTTTAAGTACAGTGATAAGTGATAAGTACAAGTAGTGTTGGTGAATAAGTACCATGAACCTCCAAGTAAGCACCATGGGCCTCTGGTATGGTCCCTTACTCGTTGTTTAAAGGGATTTAAAGGTATCCGAAGTATTGGCCCTGATCATGTATACAGGGTATACAAAGGTTTTCATAACAGGCGACCCTATTGAGGGCCCATACTTCGGATCCCCTACTAAACCCTTAAACCCCTACACCCCTGAAACCTAAGCCTCGACCCTAAAAACTAGCCCATAAACTGTCTCCATTGCAGGCTTGGGGGTTTTGAGTCATGTTGCACTCTTCCGTTGCGAAGGTATATGAAAGTCTGCAGGGCCGTGACGCCTAGCTCTCATCGATGAAGTTTGTCCGCTCTTTTCTTTTTTTTCAGTTCCCCCACCCGCCGAAGCCCTAAACCCCAAGCCCGAAAAAGCCTTAAAGTCCCAAAAGTGCCCTGAAAACCCTAAGCCCGTAAGCCAAAAACCCCCCAGAAAGAGCCGCCCAGGCGTTCTCAAAAGGCTTTGCTTGAGCCAGGCTTGACCCAGGTTTTCGAGGCGGAGGGCTTCGACACGCCGCTTCCTTGGACATTGTTTTGTTCATCAGAGTTTAGGGGTTTTAGGGTTTTAGGGTTTAGGGTTTTGGGGTTTTAGGGTTTTAGGGTTTAGGGTTCTTATCATCTGGGTTTCTAGGGTTTCCGGGCTTTCGGGCTTTCGGGCTCAAAGGTTGTTGAGGGTGAGTGGTTCAGGGGTGCTTGTGTCAATGGCTCTCAGGTTGATTCTGAGGGGTAGTTAAAGCCTTGGGGGTCCTGGGTTGCCGCAGTGTTTCCTGCATTTTTCCGGTGTTTCCTGCACTTTTCCTGTTGTTCGGCTTTGGCTTTGGGGGGGTGGGGGGGGGGGGGGGGGAAGAAAGTCATTCATGTTGCGTCCATGCACAAACACTGGCATTTGCCGCATTTTTCGCCTCTTTGTACAACACAGACTGCGCAAGGATGTGGAACAAGACACGTTGTCGCAAGCGTCCATGCCAATTGCGACGATGCCCAAAACACTGTTATTTTCCGCGCTTTTGCCTCTTAGTACAACATACTGCACAAAGGATGCGGAGCAAGCAAAGCTGTCACGAGCGTCCATGCCCACAACACCGGTAGTTATTTGTACAACATACTAAAGGATTAGGCTCCGGTTAACCGTGTATTTCAGAAAACGAAACACAATGTAACAGTAAGAACCAAGCAGAAAAGAAATCAAGTAGTTTTTTTGGGACATGTTGAAGACGGTTTGTTCAACAATCGTGTCAAGACTCGAGTAAACTGCACATTCCCCTTCAAAGCATGTCCACGGCAACCCAGGACCCGTTGTCCGGGTAGTTTCATGGGCCCTTAATGTGGTCCCTTGCCTCCCTGAAAGATTTCTGATGCGCCCTTGGTTAGCGTATGTAAGGTGTACATAAGGGGTACCCTTTTAAGAGTTGAGGTAGGATTCACGGCTCCAGTGCTCCAGGCTCAGGATTTTGGAGTATTTCCGGAGCACAGGTCAGGGCACAGGGCTAAACGCCAAACCCTAAAGTTCAGGGTTTGTTGTTATAGAATTCCGAGGACGGTGGGTGCTCTGGGTTAGGCGTCCTGGTTGACTCGTGGTTGCGAGAGCCCCAGGTGAACCAGGTGTTGATGCAGACGGCAACATGCCTCGACGCCGCACATGACGAGGGCAAGCGGTGCAGCTTGAATGATGCATCAGCCGCCTCGGGCATGTAAAACTATACGAGCCGCATACTTGAGACACCTTGTCGACACAAGTGGACCTGGTGTTGATGCAGACGGCAACATGCCTCGACACAACGCACATGACGAGGGCAAGCGGTGCAGCTTGAATGATGCATCAGACGCCTCGGGCATGTAAAACTATGCGAGCCGCATACTTGAGACACCTTGTCGACACAAGTGTTCCAGGTGTTGATGCAAACGGAAACATGCCTCGACGCAACGCACGTGACGAGGGCAAGCGGTGCAGCTTGAATGATGCATCAGACGCCTCGGGCATGTAAAACTATACGAGCCGCATACTTGAGACACCTTGTCGACACAAGTGGACCAGGTGTTGATGCAAACGGAAACATGCCTCGACACAACGCACATGACGAGGGCAAGCGGTGCAGCTTGAATGATGCATCAGACGCCTCGGGCATGTAAAACTATACGAGCCGCATACTTGAGACACCTTGTCGACAGAAGTGGACCAGGTGTTGATGCAGACGGCAACATGCCTCGATGCAATGCACATGACGAGGGCAAGCGGTGCAGCTTGAATGATGCATCAGCCGCCTCGGGCATGTTATGCGCACGAGCCGCATACTTGAGACACCTTGTCGATACAAGTGGACCAGGTGTTGATGCAAACGGCAACATTCCTTAACGCAATGCACATGACGAGGGCAAGCGGTGCAGCTTGAATGATGCATCAGCCGCCTCGAGCATGTTATACGCACGAGCCGCATTCTTGAGACACCTCGTTGACATTTCCTGACCTGGCGATGCAGAGCGAAACATGTCTATATGTTTGGGAGCAACTTTGGTACTCGTTTCCTTTTTGAGGTGTAGCTTCCCCGCCCCCCCACCCCTCCCCCCCTCCCAAAAAAAAACCTCTTGATTCGAAGCCTCATTATGTAAGCCACATAGGGATGAAAGTGCTTGGTCAGAACTGCAGCAGCATGCCGCCAATTCTAACTGTCGGTTTACAGCAGCATTTGTCTTGAAAGGCATGTACATATATCTGTATCTATATACAGTGCTCATAATTATGCAATCAACATGTATGTATTGTTCAACCCTCATAAAGACGTCACAAACACGATCTTGCAAAGCTCTCCTATCCCCCACCCCCACCCCCGCCCCCATCAGATCTTACAGTATCTTCCTTCAAGCTCTGTGCTGATGTGCAGAGAAATGTATGAACAACAAAAGTAACGACCCAAATCCAAAAAAATCGTCCTCTTCACAGTGCGAACCCACCCGAAACCTCAAACCCCTAAGCCCTGTAAGCCTTGAACCCTAAACCCTAAAGCCTAAAACCCTAAACTAAACCCTAACCCTCAAGAAACTCTACAAACCCAAAACCCCAAACCCAGCCCTAAGCCCTAAGCCCTAAGCCCTAAACCCGAACCCTAAACCCTAAACCCTAAACCCTAAACCCTAAACCCTAAACCCTAAACCCTAAACCCTAAACCCTAAACCCTAAACCCATAGCCGTGCTATGGACTCCGGCTCCGACGCGCCCTGCTACTCTGTGGGCTGCGTGCTGGAGGTGGCCACTTGGCCTAGGGCAGGGTTTAGGGTTTAGGGTTTAGGGTTTCGGGTTTCGGGTTTCGGGTTTAGGGTTTCGGGTTTAGGGTTTTGGGTTTTGGGTTTAGGGGGGGGTTGGTAGTTCTTGGGTTTAGGGGGGGGTTGGTAGTTCTTTTGACATCTCCCTTGGAAGCGTGCAACGTCTTGTGGTCTCTTCTTTGCGTACGGCTTTTCGAACTGTGCACAGCAGTTGTGACTAGCGCGATATACCTCTGGAAGGAGAGCTGTATGGATCTTAGAGCACGCGCCCCCCCCCCCCCCCCCCCACCCCCCCCCCCCCCCCCCCACCCCCCCCCCCCCCCCCCCCCCCCCCCCCACCCCCCCCCCCCCCACCCCCCCACCCCCCCCCCCCCCACCCCCCCCCCCTTTCCCCGAAATCTTAACTAGGTAGACCGTTGGGATATTTTGGATGTTCCCTGATTATTTGCCCTTGTTGTGTTTAAGAGTCTAAGAGGATGAGATTTAGAAGATTTTTCAGAGGGTTTTAAGGGCCATCCTGCTTCATCTTTCAGATCTGAACTCTGTCAATTGGCGCCTATGGCTTCGTGTCCCTAGACAACCCTGCCACCCATGCATCAGATGACAGCGCCCTACACCCTAAGCCCTAAACCCACAAAACATTACAAGCCTAAGCCTGCGTGCACACCCAGCAGCTACTACCTTTGGGCCCCTCAAGAAGCATCTGCAAACAGACTTCCTACACCACGGTCTTTCTGCGATATGTAAACATATATATGTATATATACATATATGTAAAGATAGAAACCTGTAAACAGGTAGGTCCTTGCCCGTTGGATATCCCCTTTCTCGGGCCCCACCAAGCATGCTGTTCTGAGACCCACCTCCCCCTCTCGGCTAAACAGATTTGACCCCCTTGCCCGTTGGTTATGTGTTTGTTTTGGAACCCCAACACCCCCCAACCTCCTCCCCCCAAGCATGCTTTTCTGTCACCTCCCCCACCCCCAAGGGTAGCTCTTAGCCCTTGCCCGCAACCCAGTACGCCCTCCGGCCAGCATCTGACACGAACTGCGTGCGAAGCACGCACACGGGTCTAGTATTAATGCATATATATATATATAGAGAGAGAGAGAGCGAGAGAGAGAGAGAAAGAGAGAGCAGTAGCTTAGGGTGTGATTCGGGCCCGTGAACACTAAACCAGCCAGAAACAAGGACTGGCCATTGCTGACAGGCAGGGGCGGCTGTGTGGCCCCCTCCCCCACATACACTACACCCCCCCCCCACCCCACCCCCCCCCAAAGCACTCGTGCAACATTACGAGGTTCCTATCATAAGGTTAAGAGTATCTGAGGGTATTTTAAGGGGTGCCACGTATTTTTGAGAAATACCCATATATTCCTTTTAAAGCTTTCAGATGTGGGCTGCCGGCATTCAGCTTCCTAGGGGGTCGAGATTCTTGAGCCTCAAACCCCTAAGGGTAGTACAAGGGCCCTTAAGATAGTCCCTTACCTCCTTTAAAGGGTTTGTGAAGTAGGGGCTTTTGGGTTGTATAGGTTATATCGGGGGTTTTTTAAGGGGTCCCCATTTAAGGGCCCACACTAAGGGGCCATGTAACTACCCTAGGAAAACCGCTCCAGACCACGAGCCTGCCACACCCTGCAGACTGCCCTGCCTAAACGTCAAATTGTAGTTCCACCTCTGGGGTACCTCTGTATTTTTACTAGATCACAAGTTTCAAGACCATACCGCAGCAAAGGCGTGTGATGCAGTCTGAGCCTTGTGAAGGGAACGCAACCTGAAACTCAACCCCTAAACCCTAAACCCTAAACCCTAAACTTCCCTAAACCCTAAACCCTAAACCCTAAACTCTACATCTTGAACTGAATTTTCCCGTGTGATGGAGGCGGCCATGCGCCCTTCAGGGCGACTGTTCGGGCCATCGCCTCTGCCAAGAGGAGGCGCGCGTTTGGGTGACAAGCTGCTGGGTTTGGGTGCCTGGGTGTTCAAGGTTCAAGGTTCAGGGTTCAGGGTTCAGGGTTTTAGGGTTCAGGGTTTAGGGTTTAGGGTTTAGGGTTTAGGGTGTAGGGTGCAGGGTGTAGGGTGTAGGTTGGCGGGTTGAGGGTTAGGGTTTTAGGGTTTTAGGGTTTAGGGTCTAGGGTTTAGGGTGTAGGGTGTAGGCTTTAGGGTTGGTTCAGGGGGGTGTTCAAGGTTTCAGCTTTCGGGCTGACAAGGCGTCCAGGGTTCAGGTTTCAGGTTTCGTTGTTTTTTTTGTCAAGCAAGCAACCTAGCCCCTGGGCTCACGGTCCCACAACTGGGGTTGCCCTTTTGACCCTAAACCCTAAACCCTAAACCCTCTCTATCACATGGTATTTAAAGCCCGAATGAAATTCGTGGGCAAGGCCCGAAATTTCGTGGGCAAGGCCCGTTTTGGTTCCAGCAGAAAAGACGAAATCAGCTGTGTGGAGGTTTTAACCCTTGTATTTCTTAATGTTTTGGGATTCTCTGGGTGGGTGGGTATTTTCTTAGCCCGACTAGAGACTGCTCGCTGAACCCTCAAACCCTAATCCCTGCCGTCAAGGCCAGAGCTTCTTCAACTTCAACCATAGATCCTTCGGGACTCTTTTGCGTATCAGACGCGTGCTAAAACCAAAGCTTGACTCTCTGATTGATACTCGATTGAAGGGACCTCATTGGTGGGTGGCTGGCCCTGAGCAGCCATCCACGCCACCTCCTCCGGCATCAGTCCATCCCTGACACCATACGTGAGAGCATGAAAGCCTAGCGATTTTCGCTCGCGAGTAACTTTCCAAGATTGTCAGGCACGACGTTCCTTTTGCCGGACTCTTGGTGGTGCGTCTGCAGAAACAACAAAACCAACAAGACTCGTGTGCCACGCCTGTGGAGGCAGAGGCAGAGCCGGGGCCTTCCTTGGCCAGACTTTTGGTGTGTCTAAGAACACAAACAAGATGTATTCCGCAACGTAACTTGAAAGGTCATGTGATGGTTCGGTCGTCAACCGACCTTTTTCGCCAAGGGCACGCAGTGCACGAAACCATGGGGGGTTAACGCGCTTGGTTCTTCGACATGCCCTCGTGGTCTCCAGAAGAAACCCGAAACCCGGTGTCCAGCTGGAGTTTGGCAAAGTGTCGTGCCCTACTTTCTATCCCTACTCTACTTGAAGAAGAAGCAGCAGCAAACAACTGACATGTGCACATGAATCCATAGAAACAGGCGTCATCAATTCAAAAGGGTCCTTGACTGCCACCGGTATAAAACTTACAATGTCTGCGTCACTCACATCAATGTAGAATGCTGAAATCCAGCATCAACGACAACACATGCTTTTGTGCTGATTCGGTACAGCAGGCGATTTTCAGGGCTCAGGGTGCAATTTCCTGCAGCAGTGGTCTGTGGCTCCTTCTGCTTCATCTTCGAGGGCGTGCGACCCACGGCCGGCC